GCCCGGGACCCAGCCCTTGGCCTAACCGGCTTTGAGCCCCCGTCGGCCCGGCGTTTGAGACCGTTTTGGTGTTTAACTCTGCTCCGGGCCACAGGTGGGCGGCACTCTGCCCTAAGGACCGGAAGACGGCCTTAACCCTGGGTGACGTGAGCAGCACCGGTTTTTCAACGATTTTGACTTCACAAGGGGAGGAGGCTGTGACTTCGTTACCACCATTACCAGCTTCACCCATTTTCCCGTCCCGGGCCGAGCCCGATGGTGCAGCATCACCACTCTAAGAGCTGATGTGAGCGGTGAAACCCTTCCGCCGGCCTTGTCCGGCCTCAGCTACGGCCATCTTTTGTCAACCTTAGGTTTACAGGCGCTTTTCTGAAGCTGCTTTACAAGCACATCCTTAAACTGTATGGTAAATCAACGCAAAACAAGCTTCTCCGAACGTGCTTTTATTCACACTTCACATAGGATTGAAGAAATGTCCGTTGCCACAATTGAATAAATAGTGTTATTTTGGATTTATTGAGGTGGGGCAGTTCTCTTGGGGTTAAGTAGCTGGTGAAGCTTATGGGAGGCTAAAGCATCCAATACACCACCACCTCTTGGCATCACCATGGCCTCATTCACTTAAAAAAAGTATTCACTTTTTTTTTTTCTTCTGCCTCTGAACTAGTATAACCTATCTAGCTACCTCTAGGTCCTGCCAAGCCCTCAAGCTGTTAACTAGTGATTAGATCAGAGTTGAAGAGGTAAAGATAATTCTACCTAATCTTACCTAAAAAGATCCTCTTTTGATTTATTTTCCCCTGGCCCTTTTGATTCTCCCCAAACTCTCAAGATCATTTGAATATCTTCCTCCAGATTTTAGATTTCAGAGTCTAGATTAGATCTAGACCAACTGGGGCCAGAAGGAACTAGACATGAACATCGGGGCAAGTGTTTACTGGGGTTTCACACGGTGCAGAAGGCAGGCCCTGCAGGATGAGACACAAATCCAGGGCATTATCTGGCAGGCTCAGAGAGAGAGCAGGGTTAAAAGCCAATGATGTCACAATTGCATTACACAGTGTAAGAATTTAAAACTGCATTTTCTATTCTCTTCCCCTGTCCATCTCCGTAAGACTTCTTACCATAAGACTTCTTACCTGATGGTGCGCCATCTAACTAGTTTTTCTTTTTGTTTATCTTTTCCCATTAGAATGTATGTTCTAAACAGACAATTTTTTGTCTCTTTTGTTCACTGCTATATTCCCGTGCCTCAACAGTGCCAGGTAGATAGTAAAAACTCAAAGATAGGTAGATAGATGATAGATAGATAGATAGATAGATAGATTTAATTTCAGAGAGGAAGGGAGAGGGAGAGAGAGATAGAAACATCAATGATGAGAGAGAATCATTGATTGGCTGCCTCCTGCACATCCCACACTGGGGATCAAACCCACAACCTGGGCACATTCCGTGACCGGGAACCGAACCATGACCTCCTAGTTCATAGGTTGATGTTCAACCACTGAGCCACACCAGCTGGGCAAAACTCAAATATTTATTGAATGGATGAATAAAGAAGGTATATGTTGCACCTAACACCACTCACTTTCTTATTACTTTAATACAAAGTATCTAGTTTTGCATTTGAACAAAATACCCTATTCTATTTTAAGGGCTACCAATAGAGATCCACTGAAATCCATTCTTCAGGAAGTTACCAGCAAATACTGATGTAACATCTGTCTCAATATAACATTATCAAGGTCATCGTTAGCAACATCAGCCTTCCTCATACCTTGTAGAAGCTTTGGGCTTTTGGAACAACACAGTACAAATTATAGGTACATGTTTAATGAGAAACATCTTTTGTTGTTATTGTTGCTGTTTCCTTCCCAACTATTCAGGGTCATCAAAACAGTGGACATTCAAAATGCTAAATATTGGTGTTACTGATTACAGCCTGCCTTCAGCCATCTCATTCTGAATTGAGTCATGTGGTCTGACCAGAGGCTGAGCTTCTCTTGTGGTTTTCCATAAGTAGGTGACAGGTAGACGTGTTTGAATGGTTAAGGCCATTGGCTTTGACCTGGCTTTGAATTCTGACTCTGAGGCTAACTAGCTGTGCAAACTTGAGTGAGTTACTTAACTTCTTTGAACTCATTTCATCATTGTCTGTCAGATGATTTGCCTGCTCAACTCACAGTATTGTAAGTTAACTGAGATGTGTTTGGCAATTGTGACTGATGCCTAGTTAGCGCTCAAAAAGTGGTAATCACCATTCTGGGACAGCAAAACAAAGCCGTAAATACTCAGGCTACTCAAGTATTTTTATGAAGCACAAAAATAGCTAAATTGTTTTCTGCGGTTCTATCCACTGTGACTCAGGTTCCAAGGCGCTTGTTATGTGCCAGGCACCGCGCTAGGCAGTGATGCTGCAGGGGCCATGAGAAACAGTCCTGTCTTCCAGAGACTCACAGGCTTGTGGGGTAAATGGCCAAGTAAAGAGTCACTCGCTGTGACTGCGCCAGGACACCGTTCAGCCTTCTGTCCTTCCACCTACTTGCAAAATCCATGGTTAAGCAACAGTATGGGCGCTCGGAGGGACAGACGGGACTACTTGCATCCTTTGGTGTCACTTAACTATTTGTGCCTTACTTTGTTCATGTATAAAATGAGGTAGCGACTTGGTGTCCTCCTTTATAAAAAGAAAATAGTCAACCCCAACTCACAGGGTATTAGAAAGCTGAATGTCTGCCCTTCACATGGTAACACAGTAAAAGCTCAAGACCTGCCAGCTGCTTCCTTATTTTCAGCCAACAGCACAGCCGTCTAACATTCAGAAAGACGGAAGGAAAGAGCACTAGAATTTACTCTTAGGGAAAAGAAGCAAGATGCCTAACAGTGTATAGCATGCTATCATTTGTATTTAAAAGGATGGGTGTTGCCTGACCGGTTTGGCTCAGTGGATAGAGTGTTGGCCTGCAGACTGAAGGGTCCCGGGTTCGATTCCGGTCAAGGGCATGT